GCATAGACCTAGTCATTAGATCCATCATTATTGTTATTATTATTATATTAACGCAATGATCATCCTTACCAAAGCTGGGCAGTGTCAGGCCAACTCAACTCTGCACACAAATAATCTGGGACATGGATGTACATTTATTCTGACTCGGAGCTAAAGGGTTTACTCTAAGTCACTGTGCTGGGTGTGTATGTTTCATAATCACAGACAAATCTTGTTTTTTTCTCCATGTCAAGATTTTTTAGGTGAAGTTTTTAGAAACAATCAGAACATAGCAGCAATAACATACCAAAACAATTAACAGGATCTTTCAATACTTAAGTCTAAAGCAAAACTGTAGAACAGCTAATAATTCAGTAATGGTTACTGCTTGATCACAGAGCTCTTAACACCATTGTCATTCAAACCTTTGTAACCAGATTACAACCTTGATCTCCAAAATTGTTTTTACTGCAACTTTAGCTTCATTAAAGTTTTTTTTATTGGCGTAAACACAAAAGTGTCAGTAAGTATGTGTTTTATTCCCCCGACATCTCAGAAACGTCCCTGAGCTGCTGGTTCTTGTGAAGTCTCCTCGTCGATAAAATAATGCTGCGCTGATTAAAGCGGATTTAGAGCTTGTTGCATTTGATCAGAGTCCAGCTGATATCAGAATCGCAGACCAGCTAAGCTCTTGGAGCCAAATCCATAATAATACTCCTACACCACCCACAACAAAGAGACAGCCGATGCAAGTAAATACATGGAGGAAGAAAATATCATTTGAAGACCCCTTGCATCTGAGTGAAGTAATACCACCAAATATTTACTATTGAGGCTTTTGAAGAAAAGTGTTGTTTGTCCTTGATGGTGTGTCACAAAGATTAGTGTCACAAAGAGTTATGGATTTGCAAAATTATTTTATTTTTTATTGATCTCTTAACTGCGAGAAAAAAAGTCAACAAAGTGAAAAAAGCTTTATGTTTCCGATTGAAAATACCACTACGATAACAAGATACAAGTTTGATCATGTTTGCATATTTGTGTTTCAGGGTAGTGAGTTTATTAGCGGAGCTGCATCATCAAAAGCAGTTTTTAAAACCTGTAAGCAGCACTTTTAGCTCCGCATTCAACTTCACTGTCAATATTTTCTCCCGTTACATTAACCCCAACAACAGCTGCACAGCAGGACCGGCGAAACACTAATGTGTAATGTCTTAATGTACAATAAAAGAGATGCAATCTCTAAAAGAAATGCACACACACACACACACACACACACACACACACACACACGCTCCTTTATCCGATCCACGTGTTTGCCTCTCTTCCTCTTAGAGACCAGAAAAGTTTTCTCCATCAGTCTCTTAAGTGTCTGGCCTTCAGCTATATTACCCTCTTTTCCTCCTCCCTCCACCTATCCCTCCATCACATCTTAATGTGTTTGATAAAACATCAGGCGTAGCGGGAAGGGCACAAGGCGGATGATGTGCTTTTTTGGCCAAAACAGGTCTCGGCTAAAGGACGAGGATAAAGAGCTGAGTCTGCTCTGTCTGTCTATCCAAGTCTGTCCGTCCACTTGCTGCATTAAGAAGCCGTCCAGCTTCTATTCAAAGCCAGCCACTCTCGTCGAACCTCTGCATCTCAGGGCTTTTGTCCCCCCTCAATCTCCCCATCCCACCACCGCAGCCACCCACCCCCATCTCTCAACCCGCCGCTGAGTGTCTGTAATGGCCCAGACGTGGAGGAAGGAGGGAGGGCGGGTGGGTGAGAGAAAATTAAGAAAGTGAGAGAAATGGAGGAATGGAGCGAGAAAAAGAGAGCAAGCGAGAGGAACTGGAGGGTGAAGGAGGGAAGGGACAAAAGGAGGAGAGAGGAAAGTGAAGGAGAGAGTGGTGGTGGAGGAGAGAGAGGAGACGCAGGAGCGCGATGCGTGGGGGGAAAAGGAGGCCGAGTCTTTAGGAGGAAGCCAGGCGGCACTAAGCGTCTCTGTCGCTGCCCAGTCAGGCCTGCCTTCCCCCTGGCCACGAAAACCTTCCCTCCTCCCCCCGCACCACATCCCGCCCTGACCACGCTGCACTCCTCTCCTGCCCTCCTCACTTCATCCAAGCGTCACACACTCACACTTTCATTTGGATTTACTATTCTTGTAGGGACTCTCCATTGGATTACTTTAAATCTATTGAGTCTTTCACTCTATTTAGCTTTAGCAGGCTTATGGTATGGTCACTACATGTCCCAGCGAGGCAAGTCATATGTTGCTATAATAGGACAAGTTATGTATGCATATATAGGAATGTGAGTGGTTCCAGTATTTTTAATGAGAAAAGTCACAATATGAGATGTGTTTTTTATGTATATATACATTGAACTACTTTTTATGAAAGTACTACAGTTTTACATCCAGGAGGTTGAGGGTTAAAGTCAAACTGTCTCATTTTAATTTACTTCAATTTACATTGTACAATTTGGGATTTGGCTCAAAATCCTTGAATTGCTTTACAGCACAAATCACTTGGAGTGTGGCGCCTTTCTTGCAGTGTCAATTACAAATGGAAAAATAATTTACAAAAAAACAAAGGTCAGCGAAGCAAGCTACAACGTCTTTGCTTCACAAGGTGACAGGTCATGAGAAATGCATGTTAATTTGCAGTTCAAATTAATTTTAACATCCTTAACAGTTATCTGTAACACAGACCAATTACACCAAGTTAACAGCAGTAAATGAACACATATATTGATGTTTAAAAATTCTATTTAAAAGAGGAAGGAACAAAATCTTCCCTTCTTTATAAGTCATTTTCACTTTGGCACAAAATCTGCTTTGCTTTACAGCACAAACTCACAGGATGGTGCTGTTCTTCAAGTGTAAATGCATCTTAAGTTTGTCATCATTGAGAAATATCTTCCAAACTTTACATCCTCTTCTGAACAAGAGCTGTAAGGTTGCAGCATCCTCTAAAGGGGCTCTGGATAAATGCAATCTTCATTTTTTAGAAAGACTATCAAGGGTGTGAGGCTAACAATCATCTCCACCATGGACTATATTGTATAAAATGTATAAAATAATTACAAGAAGGTAAATATATTAATTTGAAAATGACATATTGATGTCTCAGAAACATAAGTGAAGAAAATCACTATTTGCCTGTCACCAACTTCACTCTTCCTGTTTGGTCCTCGCAAGAATTGGAACACAAACAGCATATACATACACACACACACACACACACACACACACACACACACACACACACACACACACACACACACACACACACACACACACACACACACACACACACACACAGCCAGTGGCCTCAGGACTAATTGCTAGATTGGAGCAGATTTTCTAGTTCAGTTCAGGGCTGTAATTGTGAGGAGAGCAGGGAGGAATGACAGGGCTTCAAGCTGAGAGGACAAATCACCAGGGGCCGCCGATTAGACGGCACTGATGTTCACATGTCCGTGTGTGTGTGTGTGTGTGTGTGTGTGTGTATTGGGGGGTGAAGGGTTAAGCCAACCATCTCTCAATTCCAGGTTTCCGTGGCACTGACCCCAAACTGCCACACACATACACCATGTTGACCCCTATAGACCCCACGGTGCCTCACACTCACAAGCCAGTGAGAACCATGTCAGGAACTACTTGTGTTACACTCACTGCGAAAAGAGAAACCTCCCACTCCTCTATGAGTGTTTATCTCTCTGAAAGAAAACGAGCAGTATGAAGAATCTGTAAAAGCTACACGATCATTTATATGTTCCCCTTGTGAAGATCATAAAAATGATAAAATGATAAATACAGAACAGGTTTTTAAGTTGTTCCTAAACTTTTAAATGTTATAGCAGCTTAATGTTTGATAATTAAAGTTAAATCATTTTTAATTCCAACATAACTGCCATTTGTAGTTCAGAGGAGGTCACAACACAACAGGTTTAGTTTTATCAATTCACCTTGTGTATAAGCTGATCAATGCACTTACACTTTTGAATTCTGCTTTTTAACATCATATGTCCCTTTGTGTTTGACATTGTGGGAAAGCTATGGACTGATCACTGTTATAAATCCTAGCATATTTCAATTCTTTCTGATATTTGTATGTTTAGATTGTTGTTGATGTGTGTAAATGAATTTAAGTGACCACAGGTCAATGAGTCAACACCTCATGGATCACCTAAGACTAAATTTATTATGTGTAATTGGAGGACTTATTCTATAGGTAAAGTCTGATATACAGTGGTGCAGTTATATATCATTTCCTGTTAGTGTTAATAAAATGATAAAGAGTAGCTGCAAACCTCTATTATAGTGTATAGTGTATGTTGTATGGAATTGGGATAAACTAATTGACTTTGTCCTCTTTCAACAAGCCAGTGTTGCTGTGACCTTAAACAAGACGTGTTCATCCTGGTCAGCTGTTGGCAGGATAATCGTGAAGTTTGCTCCACACTCTCTCTACATGGATAAAATGCAACACAGATAAAATTGTACCATGTCTCCAGGATGAACATGTGTCATCTGACAGCAGTGAACTTCAAAGACAGGATGAAAAACCTGTATTGACTCCATCCCATCTCTATCTTGCTCCCTCTCTCCCTCTCTCTCTCTCTCCCTCTCTCTCTCTTCTGGCTATCTGCAGCAGGAGCCTCATCAGACGCAGCAGGACAGGAAGGAGACGCAGAGAGGAACCACAGAGATGGCAACGCACACAGAGACAGAGAGCTCACTCTGAGCTGCACTACAGGCATTTCGCTACTAAATGCATCTGCATGGAAACAGCAGCACAGCCAGGAAGGCCCGCATGGAAACACTTCTGTTATTCCTCACACACATCCCACATCTGCACGCACACCTGCATTCTTTCCTGCGATAGTTTGCTTCAACAAGGATGAAGGACAGAACGAGAAAAAGAAAGGATGAGAAAACGGCCAATCGAACTGTTCTCTGTCACTCAGTCAGTCACTCAGTAACCCAGTCACACAGTCAGTCAATCATGCAGCCGATCTTTCAGTCAGCTTACCTTGCAGTGATGTCATGGTTGTCATTATGACAAGGCCTGCAGTCCTGTTGTCTGATTGGACGTTACCCGCTGTCCAAACCAGCATTACATCCATGGCAGGAAAAGGATAACAGACTCCTACAGCTGCAATAATGATTTTCTGAGCTTTTCCTGCTTCTGTTTTGCTCTCTGATCGTCTTGCTACCTGTCTCTGTCCCTCTCCAGCCCCTGTTAGATCTAGTTTCTATACCTTAACTGTGTTTAGACTTTTTCTTCAGTTTAAATTCTGTCCTTTCCTACACTCAACCCGCATTTCTACACAGGAATAGTAATATATGTCTGTCTATTTCAACCCTGGTCTCAGTTGACTCTTTCTCCCAGTTCCCAGTTTTCCCTCCCTGTCACCTTTTCTTCCCTGCCTCTCCCTGGCCTTCTCTTCCTCTATCTTCTTCATCCCTCCTTCAGCCCAGTATTCCTCTCCCATGCTATGGTATCTTCATCACGGCCTCCGCTCAGCCTTCATCTCCCTCACCTTTCTCGGGTTCCCGTGTCCACCCCGCCATCCCACCTTCACACTTTTTTCCCTGCCAGCCTCCCCAGGCCCGGCATCCCCCTAACCCCCCGGCCTCGGAGCCGCTACCCAGTCCCCGGCTCTCCCTCTCCCTCTCCCTGCCTCTCCTCCAGCCTGCCTTTCCCTCTACTCTGCCTCCTTCAGCCCCAGCCTTCTGCTCAGTGTTCAAGGGGAGAGCCAGCTAGGAATGCTGTGGCTCTAGACGTTTTGTCCAAGCCCTAGGTCTCTTTCACTGAGGCAAGATTAGTTCATACAAAAACTCAACAATACACCACTGAAAGCCATTGTTGATATTCAACATTTTTCACATAGCGGAGCAGAATAGACAATGCGGCAGCCGGGAAAGCCCGAAGCGGACTAGCAGGGTTGATGGCTGATGGTATCTCAGCCGAGCGAGGGCCTTAATCCCTTTTATACACACACACACTCACACAAGTACACACGCTCTCAAGAGCCTGGAGACAACAAAATCAATACTGCTCTCTCTCTCTCTCTCTCTGTGTCTGTGTGTGGATGAGTGGGTGGGTGAGTGTGATAGGGAGAAAAAAGAGAATAGTACTGTTTGTACCTCTGTTTGTGTTTGTGTGTTTGTGTGTGTGTGTGTGTGTGTGTGTGTGTGTGTGTGTGTGTGTGTGTGTGTGTGTGTGTGTGTGTGTGTGTGTGGGGCACATAAGCATTCTTGGATCTTTGTGTATAAATGATATCTCAAGGTTCTCTATCACAGGAGCTGATTAAATCAACTTTTCAAATGAGCCGCAAAACAAAAAATCACGAATGGTGAAATTATGAATTTCAGCTCTTATGAAAAACAAACATGCAATAGTCTAAAGGATGAAGGATCAAGTCCAGGTTATTGAAATAACCTCTGAGTCCTAACCCTAACAGAGGGTCATAGCATGTTAACATTTCACAAAACAGCAAAAAGTTTACAAAAACTAACAAAATGACTGTTAAAGTTTTAGTTTTACACAAGTGGAAGTTTTTTTCTATGTTAAACGATAACACAGCCGACTGTACTGAGCCTCTTTTTATTTATCTTGTTTTGTTTATTTGGAGTCCCCAAAGTGATGAAAGATGATCATTTTTGCACAAGATGGTCAATGTCTTGCACATAAAACTGATTGTGATTTAAAATTCTGGCCAAATCTCTCTGCCCTAATCACAATTTATGCTTTGGTTTAAGTTTTTTTTTTTATTATTATCTTGTAAATGTACTTATGCAAAGAGCTTAATTCATCAGATTTAACTCAAATCATTTTTGGTCAGCTTTGCGCAACTGATTAAAAACACCCAAAGACAAAAAAGCAACATGTTAAGTGAAAGTTAAAACTGTGAAAACATACTCAATTACCAATAAATATCATGTATTCAGAACATTACTGGAGTAAAGCTACAGGGGTATTACCCGCAACATATGGTTCAAGTATCAAATATTAAAATATTACACAGCAGAACAGCCCGTTAGAGTTATATTGTCATATATTATATAATTGTGTTAGTACTACTGGTGTATAGACATGTAAGATGCATTTTAACTACTTTATATACTGTTGAGCAAAGTGAACACGTTTTGTGTGTAAAATGTCATTCTGCTAAGTAACTATCATCTGTAGCTTTCAAATAAATATAGTGGAGTAAATAGTGTTTTCCTCTGAAAAGAAGTGGAGTACAAGTACAAGTACCCAAGTAAATGTACTTAGTTACTTTACACCACTATGTTTGGCTGCCACAGTCAATATCACAGTTCAGAGTGAAAATCAGGGCTTCACTCTAACAGTCTAAAATCACAAAGCACCTTACAAATGATATACTATAAGACTAAAAAGCTGTTGAAATCTGACATACCTCAACTCAGCTACTATTATCATGAAGGATTTTTTTCCAACAGTAGTATACACTATAATCTTCTATAAAATGAGTCAGCTTTAGAAAATGTACCTTGGCACTGGAACGTGCTGCAGAATCTAAACTGCGTTCCTGGCAGATTGCTACGGAAGCAACCAAATGACAAATGAACTGATGGGAGAGGGAAAAAATATCATTTTAAATAAACTGCTTCCTAATTTTCAGTCACAGGGACGGAGCAGGATTGTGAAACTGGGCCTGGAATGAGTCTGCAGCAGCCTTTATGATTACAGCTGGTTAATGTAATGAACGCCATGTCATGTAAAACTCATAAATCATGTCACGCCGGCGGAAACATTTCATAAAACATGATTAAAAGTGTCGTGTAACATTGAGAGCGACGGTGTCAGAGTGAGACATGTTAATTGTGCACTAATGATATGTAATGAATGTCATCAGCCCCGAGGCTTCGGCTAACGAGCTAAATGAACTGGCACTAATGGGCCTGTTAGCTTATCTTAGCGCTAACATTAGCTAGCATAATAAAGGGTTCGTCCTCTGCCAACGTTTCTAGAAGTGTCATTTTACAATGAGACACTTCTTTTAAATTGCTTTTTGACAACAACAACAAGTAGAAAACAAAGACTCAGAAAGCTTCTTGTCCCACCGACAGCTAATCATGGACACAAATAAACACACTTATTTTTATGCTTTCTCATAACACTTTGCCCCAAATAAATCTTCCTCCTGCCCTCCACCTGGACTCCAGATCCTGATCCAGATCCAGCTGCCGGGCTTTCCCAGGACCCCCCAAGTCCGCTAGGTAGCAGAGAAGAAGAAGAAGAAGAGGAGGGAGGGAGGGAGCAGGGGCCCTCTCTTTCTCTCTCTATCTTTTTTTTTCTTCCAATTGACCAATTGACAGCTGATTGATGGCTATCTCCTCAGCCCGACAAAGAGCAGCATTAGCATAACTAAAGCAATGTACAGTAGAGTGGGGCAAACAGTAAATTACATGTTACCCCCCCCAACTCTTCTCTCTCTCTCTCGCCCTCTCTCTCTCTCCTCCACTCACTCCCTCATTCAGACAAACACTACGGCAGGCAAACAAAACAAAACAAAGTATGCTTTTTGTCCCCCATGTGAGCCCTTAAACAGTACAGCTTGACAGCTTCTTTAGAGGGAGACACACAAAAGGCCTGACAGAGAGAGAGAGAGAGAGAGATGGAAAACGCACACACAGTATCATTTGAACAAGATACTGACCTTGAGGAGGGTTTCTGTGGTGTGGTTTAGGATGGCTCTGTTGTGCATGTGTGTGTGTGTGTGTGTGTGTTGGGGACAACAGGGATCACAGAGGAACAGCGAACACATGAGGGGTGTATAGAGGAAAAGATGATAAATATTAAAAGATACTGTCAATGAAGAACCCTGTTCTTCGTTTTCTCACTAGAAAAACCAACGCTGACAAAGAGCCATCAGTCGTGTCAAAGTCGGACCCTTGCATCGTCAACTTCACACCGTCTCCTTCAATCGTATTTCCTACGCCTTCAAGAGGGTTTTGTCACGTGAACAAAGTGACAATTGATGGCAGACTACACACCGGACCACGACCACTCCATAGCATATCGTATCTCCTGAGTGTGTCCACACTTTGCATCCATCGCCTTCCTACACGGGACGAAACTAGCCTCACACCCGTCTGTCAGGTTGAACCGTCACTGCTCTGATATCGTGTAGTCTGACCTCAGCTTTAATCATGGATGCAGTTATGTTGTCCTGTTGTTTTTTCAAATGAATAAAACCTGATGATAAGCACACAGGTTTTAATCTAAAGATTTAAAGCTGTGAATAAGCGTGAACATCAGCTCCAGATAAAATAACAAAAACTTTTAACATATTAACTTGTTTTATATTTGATATCACCTCTATTTTATAGTATATATTCTACACTGGTGTTGTATATTAATTGTTTTTGTTCAGTGTTTTTTTTTTTCCTGGAGCCATTTGCACTGATGTCTATGTACTATACTATCACCTTTCAATATTTCTTGATGGATGGAAGGGTGGATGGACAGAGTTGGGACCTCATACTGGCCTCGTCTCCTCTCTCCCTCTGTCTTTTCCTCCCACCATCTCCCCCCCCCCCCGCTCAGGCCGGCAATCTGTTCTCTAATTGTTCATTCATGGTGTGAATCTTTAAATAGGAGGCCCTAGCCTGGCGCTAAGATAATGAATCGCTCTGTGTCGTTAGCTAGCGAGGCTAAATTACCGCTTGGTGCAGAGTTACCATGGAAATAGGCCACAATGAGAGTGATTAGTCTTGTGTCTTTTACACACCGAGACACTTTGCGGTTCAGCAGGAAACACTGAAACCCTCCTTCCTCTCCTCTCTCTGCCTCTGTATCTATAGAAAACAGTATTTTCAGAGTCAGCCACTTTAATAGCACAGAGAGCGTGCTCAGGTTGCCTCTTGGAATTAATGAACATTAGCACAAACTGTACAAAAGTGCAAGAGTGTTTATGAATATTTGCAACAAGATGTTTTTTTTGTTTTTTTTTTCAGCTGTTGTCCATTTGACTGGTTTTTATCTTCTCCTTATCTGATTGGTCAGGGACGCCTCTCAAATACACATCAGATAAGGAGATAGTTGAGGCTTTATATAAAGATATCAGTTTCATCTTCAATTTTGTTTTGTTTGCTGTGTCAACAGATACTTTCAGATGCTTCTTTCTTGCCATGAGTTTCTATGACAACCTTTTTCAATTACCAAGTCAAAGTGTCGGATCCTTTGTTGCGGGTTTTCCTTTTCCTTTACTGAGGCGAGGAGTTCTACTAGATAAAAGTGTCTTTTGTGGAGATATGTAGCAGCCAAATGTGATATTTATTTAGATTTTGTATTCTATACTTTATGACATTACTGTGCTATGTGAGCCTTTTTTTTATGTGTTTTCATTGTATATTTGTTCCTTTTTCCTCTGATTCTTGTTTGTTCCTTTCCTTCACGTCTCTTCTGCTCTTTTCCTCTGTTGCTCAACATACATCTCTGTGCAGGTGTGTTTCTGTAAATGTGTGTGTGTGTGTTTGTGTGTGTACTTGCTCATCCACATGTGAGGATCCTCATGGTGAGTGTGAGTGGCATGCTGCTGACACACAACAGGAGAGTATTCT